AGGATGGGAGTTATACTCCTGCACTAACAAACAAATCTACTGTGAATGGGCGGGGATGGAGGATGGGAGTTATACTCCTGCACTAACAAACAAATCTACTGTGAATGGGCGGGGATGGAGGATGGGAGTTATACTCCTACACTAACAAACAAACCTACTGTGAATAGGCGGGGATGGAGGATGGGAGTTACTCCCTTGCACTAACAAACAAACCTACTGTGAATAGGCGGGATGGAGGATGGGAGTTATACTCCTGCACTAACAAACAAACCTACTGTGAATAGGCGGGGATGGAGGATGGGAGTTATACTCCTTGCACTAACAAACAAACCTACTGTGAATAGGCGGGATGGAGGATGGGAGTTATACTCCTACACTAACAAACAAACCTACTGTGAATAGGCGGGGATGGAGGATGGGAGTTACTCCCTTGCACTAACAAACAAACCTACTGTGAATAGGCGGGATGGAGGATGGGAGTTATACTCCTACACTAACAAACAAACCTACTGTGAATAGGCGGGGATGGAGAATGGGAGTTACTCCCTTGCACTAACACACAAACTTACTGTGAATGGGCGGGGATGGAGGATGGGAGTTACTCCCTTGCACTAACAAACAAACCTACTGTGAATGGGCGGGGATGGAGGATGGGATTTACACTCCTACACTAACAAACAAATCTACTGTGAATGGGCGGGGATGGAGGATGGGAGTTATACTCCCGCAATAACAAACAAACCTACTGTGAATGGGCGGGGATGGAGGATGGGAGTTCTACTCCTACACTAACAAACAAACCTACTGTGAATGGGCGGGGATGGGGGATGGGAGTTCTACTCCTACACTAACAAACAAATCTACTGTGAATGGGCGGGGATGGAGGATGGGAGCTACTCCCTTGCACTAACAAACAAACCTACTGTGAATAGGCGGGGATGGAGGATGGGAGTTATACTCCTGCATTAACAAACAAACCTACAGTGAATGGGCGGGGACAGGACGTGATATGCCCCCACAACATCAAAAGAAATGTAAGAAAGTAAAATTAGGTGTAGAAGGAAGGAAAGTATATCGAGGAAGTGTTACATGTCGTAGATTACAATTCTTATTAGATTTTTGTCCAGAGTGATTCCTTGTCTTGGTATAAGGCATGGGGTATATCGAAATGGGATTTATGGAGAAATCTCTGACGTTGATACACAGTAAATGTTGACAACAGTCCATCTATCTCATACAGCTGTCCATTCAGTTACTTGATATGTCTTCCATAGTTGTTTTTCGTTGAAATTTAGCCGACGTTTTAAACCCACCATGGTATAAATTCATCTATATTATTTTTTATTTGTAGGTACCATTAAAACACCTGTAAGTAAACGAACTCTATCTCTTGGTACGTATGAAGTATTAGCAACATAATTCTCCTGCAAAAATTGGATAGTTTCGTATACATATATTTAACGACAATATCAATAGTTTTAGAGGATTTGAAAATCATACCTCGATATCAAACCTTACTTAAAACTATGATCTCCTAAAGTTACTTCCCTTGGTGTCACTCTGATGGTATAGTGATTAATGAATATGTGTTAAATCGAGTCTACTCCTAAACGTTGATCTTACTCGTTCTGAAAGTGATATTTTATTTACAGTCACTTTTCTCGGAATAGACTGCCAATCTGATTTGGGTAAGTTTTTAAGCACTGAAAAATTCCACTGATAATTACTGGTACCCTCATAGAGTTATATTTTCAGTCATTGACCTTAGTGTTGTACAATTAGTGAAATGATCATTCCAGAACTTTTCTCCGCTCGTCTAAATCAGTTTTTAACATTAAAAGGTAAAAAAAAGTATATTTATGTGCGATATTTGCCGCAATCCCTTTCTTGACTGACGTTTAGTTTGAGACATGATGATATGCTTATCGAATTATACATTTTTATCATTAAACGACACCCCCTCTCACCTCCCTTCCACCCCAAGTAATATAGTCAAATATTTCTGATCCCAGTGGATTATTTTATATACATTTGATATCATACAAGACCTAATATAACCCGTTGTTACTTTGTAACCGAGTACGGTTTCCTTCTTGGGACCTTCAGCAATATATTTCAGTGGGGTGACGCTATAAAATTCGTCATCAATACCGACCACACGGAGGCTCATACGCACGCATTAGGCACATTCTCATCACGAATGCCTAGGGAAGCTGTCACTAGACAATCATATCTGTTGAATCAACCAATCAATCATTATACCTACAATAAATTCTCAATAGGAATCTTAATGACTATGTATAACTATTTGAACTTAATGAATTTGTATAATAAGTTGATCTCAATGATTTTGTATAATTAGTTGATCTCAATGATTTTGTGTATTTAGTTTAGCTTGAGTAGAGCACAGATGGATCTTTTCTGCATTTTAATGAACCGGAAGAGAATATAGGATTGAATTATTTGTGTGTTTTATTGAACTAGAGAAGAATATAACAAACGCGCAATTGGGGAGACAACTCTAAACGACCCGATCGTAATGTCGGATGGTCACGTAACGTGGTGGCCAGGGAAGGCGATTAAGACAACATGCAAAGTGGATTTTACAAATATCCTTTTCCTGCTCTTATTCTGACTTTTGATGTTTTTCCACAGGGTTGTTTTCGACACTGATATGTCCCAATGAATCCAAAGGTAATTCGATATTCTTATTTGAAAAAAAATATGTTGCTCATTTGACGAATGATTTTACGGGCCAGAAACTTTTCGAAAGCAACTTACAAGTATCAGATTAAGTGAGCCATTTTAAGAGATTAATGATTTTTAAAAATAATTTGTCAAGTTAAGTGCATTTCATACATTAGTACTTTGTTGCTGATTTTGACCAAATCGTCAAGATAATAACCATAACCACAATTGTAACGGTCCCTATATTCTATTTCATAGGTTTCATAAAAATATGAAAAACACGAAAGAAAATTCAAACATGAATTCGAGAAAATTATGCCAAAATATATAAAAGCAAACGAAAAACCGCGACTCTTTCATCGGCGATACCCGCCACGTAAACCTTGACCAATCCAATAAGTAATGTTACGGTCTCATAGGAGAACGAAGTAAACAACAACGAAACCAGCAGACATACTTACATGTTCGAATACTAAAGAAATAAAATATTTCTCAATGAGATCCTTATGACAACCGTAAAGTTCTTCATAATCTACATTGGCCTACAACTCTTGAAACTCTATGTTATGAGATTGTCTGTCAGTTGCCGACATATTTCACGAAAATTGTGCTATTGGGAACAGGTCCTTAAATATCGAATCAACTGCGATATGTAAACCATAGCTTAAGGATGCAGGAATGTTGCTATCCAGAAACAGAAAATTCACAATAGGGAAACTGAAATCATGCCGTTTACCGAACAGATAGGTAGAAATATGTCCAGGTTGGTTTCGTTGGGATGGAAGTAAGCGGCTGAATTAAATTATTTTATCGTGTCCGTGATTTCCAATTCAGATGGATTTATACAGTGACTAAGGTTTATAAACACAATTTCAATTTCAAAACAAAAGACATCAATATCTGAAACTGAAATTAAATGCCTTTTGATAGCCCTTTTGACCTGTTTTGAACACAAAAACAAATAAGTCGAGAAAGAGGCACAGTAGGTACTCTTTTGGGAGGCCCTACCACCAAACCCGACGAGGATACTATCTTTTTCAAATTGTATTTTATTATTTCCTCCTCCGCATATTTTTTTTTGTTGGAACAGTTTTTTAAGATACTTTCAATATATTTCACAACATTATAACACTACTACTGTCATTTAGATGTTAAGACTTATTAATCACTGTCAAAACAGTACTGTCATTTAGATATGAGGATTAATTAAGCACTGTCAAAACAATACTGTCACTTAGATATTAGGACTAATTAAGTACTGTCAAAACAATACTGTCACTTAGATATTAGGACTAATTAAGTACTGTCAAAACAGTACTGTCACTTAGATATTAGGACTAATTAAGCACTGTCAAAATCGTACTGTAGGACTAATTAAGCACTGTCAAAACAGTACTGTCACTTAGATATTAGGACTAATTAAGCACTGTCAAAACAGTACTGTCACTTAGATATTAGGACTAATTAAGCACTGTCAAAACAGTACTGTCACTTAGATATTAGGACTAATAAAGCACTGTCAAAATCGTACTGTAGGACTAATTAAGCACCGTCAAAACAGTACTGTCTCTTAGATATTAGGACTAATTAAGCACTGTCAAAACAGTACTGTCACTTAGATATTAGGACTAATTAAGCACTGTCAAAACAGTACTGTCACTTAGATATTAGGACTAATTAAACACTGTCAAAACAGTACTGTCACCTAGATATTAGGACTAATTAAGCACTGTCAAAATAGTACTGTAGGACTAATTAAGCACTGTCAAAACAGTACTGTCACCTAGATATTAGGATTAATTAAGCCCTGTCAAAACAGTACTGTCACTTAGATATTAGGGCTAATTAAGCACTGTCAAAACAGTACTGTCACTTAGATATTAGAAATTTCGTTTCGCACGGATATACACAAAAATTATTATCACACATTGTATTAAGAACAGAAATGAAACACATGTAGATCTTTTCCTTTTTCACCTAGCGGACTGTCAAGATATTCTTGAAGATCATGTGGATATACACAAAGAAAGTAGTGTATATGACCTCCATCCTGATTCTAATGACGCAATATTTACCTTCTGTGATATGGATGGTGGTTGGACGGTAAGTGTGTGAAATGGATGGTGGCTGGACGGTTAGTGTGTGTGATATGGATGGTGGTTGGACGGTAAGTGTGTGTGATATAGATTGTGGCTGGACGGTTAGTGTGTGTGATATGGATGGTGGTTGGACGGTTAGTGTGTGTGATATGGATGGTGGTTGGACGGTAAGTGTGTGTGAAATGGATGGTGCCTGGACGGTAAGTGTGTGAAATGGATGGTGGCTGGACGGTTAGTGTGTGTGATATGGATGGTGGCTGGACGGTAAGTGTGTGTGATATAGATGGTGGCTGGACGGTAAGTGTGTGTGATATGGATGGTGACTGGACGGTAAGTGTGTGTGATATAGATGGTGGCTGGACGGTAAGTGTGTGTGATATGGATGGTGGCTGGACGGTAAGTGTGTGTGATATGGATGGTGGCTGGACGGTAAATGTGTGTGACATGAATGGTGGCTGGACGGTAAATGTGTGTGATATGGATGGTGGCTTGACGGTAAATGTGATAGGCGGCACACTGGGGAATGTAAATGCCTATATATAGACAGTAATATCTTCTGAATCTAGAAATTGATATGTTCGGATGACATCTGACAAGTTGTCTCTCTCTACAATGGGTAAGAACATTAACATTGCCAGTTTCGTCAAAGGTCAAGGTCACTGTTGAAGAAAATAAAATTCTACCGGACTCTTTGCCATCACTGTGTACCTATGTGTTGTTGGATAGATGGTTTGACTGGTCACTGATGGGATACAATTCCTTTATTACGAATTGGTTTTATGGGATTCGAAGTCCTCGCAACGGCAAGGGTTATAGGACAGATTTCAAAGATCAGACGCCAAGAGTTCGAAAAACAAAACAAAAACAAAGACATAAAATGCCAGAGAGAACGGAAAGAATGAACGTTCCAAGTATTACAGAGGGGAAAGCAGATCTATTTTGTAATTATTTATTTGCTAAAGGATGTTCTTTGTGTTATATTTATCTATTGTATAAAATAATATTGTCATTACACAGATAATACAGCAAAGACTAGCGGGCTTTACAGAATTTGACCAAACATGGATGAACTACAAGTTAGGCTTCGGCAAACCATATGAAGCAGATTTTTGGCTAGGTGAGTATCCTTGTAATCGACGTTTTTGTGAAATATCTATCATATATAATTTTATTTGATTCATTCATATAATTTCATTTCAGTTCAACAATTCTGTTTGCACAAATATATATGCAAAAGCAAAATTATGAGAAAACAGGTATTGCAAATATACATTGTCTTCTCATAGAGATATCACTTCCTATTTATCACCAAATCAAAGACAGTTACCTACCTCCGTGTCCAGGTCATGTCAGTGTGACAGCACTATAAAGGCGGCTATCAGTTGTCCCAATCATCTGTCGATTCATGTATCCTTGTCTGTTGCCGAGGTAAAACCCCAAACATGCATATTAACATAATAAATATGCAAACCGTCTTTGAAAATATAGTTAATTACAGGATATATATAATAGAATTACCATTAATGTTGTACATCATGAAGTTTCCATTGTGTGTATAGTGCTATCATACAGAGGAAACATGAGGTTGACTTTTACTAACTTTCGTGTACAGAAAAATCATTTAAGATCTCTATGTGTCTGTAGGTAACGAAAACATCTGGCGACTAACCAATGCCGCGGGCATTCAGAAACCATACACTCTCCGTGTGGAGTTAACCAGTGCGGAGGGAGAAACAAGGTTCGCGGAGTACGGCTACTTCCGGATCGAGGACGAGTACAATGGTTACAGGCTCGTTATAGGGAACTACAGTGGCAATGCGGGTATGTTTGACCTCTATATAAACTTTCCTACAAATGCCACAGCCTAGACTTAGTTATAGCTGGAAATGATTGGATAAAGTTGTTGGTTTATATCAGTAGGTGCCTACTTCCGTTGGCACTATCACCTACAACCCCGAAACTGGCAAGTTGTTAAATTTTGATTAAATAGGTGAGTATGTTGACGTGAGTAGAAAAGACAATAGCCTGTTTTGAACGTGGCCAGTTGGCTAATAATAACACATAAACGTGACGCAAGAAGTATTTCCAAGTGTTGTAGAACATCACACACGAAAGAGTAATTGTTTCACTTGGTTTTGTTAACGATGTAACGAATCATTCAAATTGATACCACCAAATGCAGTTTAATAATGAAACGCCAAGACATCTGTGAAATTCTTGGTGTAATCGAATATGAAATGATAGTAAAATGGCAAAACTGTATTTGCGGAATGGTCTTTTAATATTTGCCATCACACTTTTACGTCATAGCATGGACACTGAAATTTAAAGTTCAAACCAGTCACATTATACTTACAACATTTACAGTGCTCGGCAGGTAACTATCGTCACGTCAGCTCATTTAGCGTAACATTCGACATATATCAATTAAATGGCGTTCATGTCAGCCAGGGGAACAGAACGCAGAGCCTTCTGTTTGTCTTGGTCAGAGGATATGACCAACAACCCTCATCTTTGTCTTGGTCAGGGTACAGGACCCACAACCTTCAAGTCTGTCTCGGTCAGGGAACAGGACCCACAACCTTCTAGTCTGACATCATTTTGTTATGTACAAACATTAATTTGTTATCAGACCGGATCCACTGCATTTATTTGAATGAGCTAGCATTATTGGCTTTTACAAAGTTATGTTATATACCGTCAGTGTCACACCGACTCCCTTGGTAGACGAGCAATATCATTAATTAACATATTAATTAGTCATTGGTTTCGATTTTATGTCGTTAAAAGCCATATCCTATCTCCTGATGGTCTGTTAGTTGACTCTCAATTATAATATGACAAATGAATACATCTACATCTGTAATTAACTAAGTCATCGGATATCAGCAACTCGTCCATACTGTATCATGTATCTGTGGGTGTAACGGTGCCCAGCGGTGACGTCCGAACCATTAACTCGTGCTGATGTAGGTGTTTGATAATTTGTCTCTAGGTGATGCCATGCAGACTCAAAATGGGACGAAGTTTAGCACAGGTAACTATGATCATGCAATGATTATGAATAGTAACTGTGCTCTTGATCGCTCGGGTGGATGGTGGTTTACAGACTGTAACCATGCCAACCTTAATGGTGCATACAAACCTGGATCAGGGCACAATGGTATTTTCTGGGATACTTGGAAAGAAGCTATTGATTCAATCAAGGAAGTCAGGATGATGATTCGACGTGGCGACTAAATCTAAGAAATGCTCTTGTAAATGTGAACAATTACCGCATTGTATTAATATGACACAGTCGAACCTCCTTATCTCGATTTCGGCGGGATCATAGGAAAACTTCGAGATTACAGAGTGTTCGATTTAAACAAGTTCAAATGTTTTGTGTCAGGATAGGCAGGGACCGAAGAACTGATTTGAAATAAAACGGAGTCTTTGAGTAATACAAATCCAGATAATAAGGTTCGACTGTGTAAATTTTGAATTCCCAAGGAAAATTTCATGGATAAAAAATGTGCATAACGATATTAGTGGGTTGCTTTTCTGTTTTATGAAAATAATTCTATAATCCATTCCTGACGCCAACGTACAAATGGTGGCGAGCTTTCAAGTGCGATATGTACAACACTAAATGCGGTATATAATAAAAACCATACGACGGTCGACTGGACTAGAGATTATTTAAACCTGTAACTCCCCCGAGAGTCAAGAGAATCGATGGTTATAATGACCTGCACCGTCAAATAAACGCGTTAATAAGACAGTAGTAAAGGATGTCGTGTGGTGCAGTGACAACGCACCTTGTCGTCCGGAGTTCGATTTTTTTTAGATCGGACGTGAACCGTTAACCCATCATGCCGACACAATCGGTACAAGATACTGATAAACAGAATCATAAACTGGGTGATGTATCAGCATATTCTCAATGTAAAAAAAAAAGTTAAGCACAAAACTACAGTATTCTTGTACTACATCAATACCATATATGTTTACTTGTTCCTGATAAGTAGCAGTATATTTTTATGTAAGTAGCTGGAGTAGTAAATATACATACATGTAAATATATACTTCATCTAAACACTTCTTTTACATACAACTTTGTCTAACTGACACAAAGTGTCCACTCGGTCATCGATCCAAAAATTACATCCGAGTTGAGCTCGGCTTATTGGAGAAAACAAAACATGAAATACTGACGTCAATGGAATCTTGATATGAATAAAGATAAAATTGACAATGCCTTACAATCTCCATAGTGTATATGAAAGTGTATTCAATTATATTTCGTTGTGTTGGGAAAAAAACTGATCAATAATCGCCTTTCTGTTTTGGTGAAATGTGTAGGAAAACACTTGAAGAATGCCAATGTTCCATACACAAAAATAAACTGCTCCCATCATTATTCATGATGTTATAACGAGCAAATTGATGAAGTGTTACTTTAATTCATCCAGTTGCTGAGCTTTTTGTTGCCAATAAGAGATCACTGCGTCCTCCTCTTCGTAGTCCGTTTTCTCTTTAAACATGGTCAGTTGTCCGATTCCCATTACCACAGCGATAAGGAGCGACACTGCAGCGGCCGCTGACGACAGAAAGAGTGGCCAACCCGTCGCCCCGTCACGTGTCTCCATGGCCTGTAGGGGAGTCAGTCCAGCTTTCTTCTTCACAAAAAGCAGGATGCCGATGATAATGATACAGCCTAAGGGAGGTAATTCAGGAGTGTAGGAAAAACATATATATTGATATAGATATTTTGTTTAAATAATCTAACTTAATGATGCCTTAAAATAGGGTTATGTTAGGAATCATTTCTGTCTATAAATGATCAAGTCACACAATAAATAAGTATAAAGATGATAAAAGCGAGGTACTGTCTACTCAAAAGTGAAACAGTGTTAAATGCACTACCAAATCTATTAAATCTATATATACCCCCTATCTGACTTCTACAGAAAATCTATATATACCCCCTATCTGACTTCTACAGAAAATCTATATATACCCCCTATCTGACTTCTACAGAAAATCTATATATACCCCCTATCTGACTTCTACAGAAAATCTATATATACCCCCTATCTGACTTCTACAGAAAATCTATATATACCCCCTATCTGACTTCTACAGAAAATCTATATATACTATCTGACTTCTACAGAAAATCTATATATACCCCCTATCTGACTTCTACAGAAAATCTATATATACCCCCTATCTGACTTCTACAGAAAATCTATATATACCCCCTATCTGACTTCTACAGAAAATCTATATATACCCCCTATCTGACTTCTACAGAAAATCTATATATACCCCCTATCTGACTTCTACAGAAAATCTATATATACCCCCTATCTGACTTCTACAGAAAATCTATATATACCCCCTATCTGACTTCTACAGAAAATCTATATATACCCCCTATCTGACTTCTACAGAAAATCTATATATACCCCCTATCTGACTTATACAGAAAATCTATATATACCCCCTATCTGACTTCTACAGAAAATCTATATATACCCCCTATCTGACTTCTACAGAAAATCTATATATACCCCCTATCTGACTTCTACAGAAAATCTATATATACCCCCTATCTGAACCCCCTATCTGACTTATACAGAAAATCTATATATACCCCCTATCTGACTTCTACAGAAAATCTATATATACCCCCTATCTGACTTCTACAGAAAATCTACATATACCCCCTATCTGATTTAAACAGAAAATCTATATATACCCCCTATCTGACTTATACAGAAAATCTACATATACCCCCTATCTGATTTAAACAGAAAATCTATATATACCCCCTATCTGACTTATACAGAAAATCTATATATACCCCCTATCTGATTTAAACAGAAAATCTATATATACCCCCTATCTGACTTATACAGAAAATCTATATATACCCCCTATCTGACTTCTACAGAAAATCTATATATACCCCCTATCTGATTTAAACAGATATAAATTATACAGATATATACCCCCTTCTACTTAACAGAAAATCTATATATACCCCCTATCTGACTTCTACAGAAAATCTATATATATACCCTATCTGATTCTACAGATTATATATACAGAATATCTATATATACCCCCATATCTTCTGACTTCTACAGAAAATCTACATATACCCCCTATCTGATTTAAACAGAAAATCTATATATACCCCCTATCTGACCTATACAGAAAATCTACATATACCCCCTATCTGATTTAAACAGAAAATTTATATATACCCCCTATCTGACTTCTACAGAAAATCTATATATACCCCCTACTGATAGTCGACCATGATATTAAGGTCTGACCCCCAGACTACTGACCTCCCCAGACTACTGATAGTCGACCATGATATTTAGGTCTGACCCCCAGACTACTGATAGTCGACCATGATATTTAGGTCTGACCCCCAGACTACTGATAGTCGACCATGATATTTAGGTCTGACCCCCAGACTACTGATAGTCGACCATGACGTTAAGTCTGACCCCCAGACTACTGATAGTCGACCATGATATTTAGGTCTGACCCCCAGACTACTGATAGTCGACCATGACGTTAAGGTCTGACCCCCAGACTACTGATAGTCGACCATGACGTTAAGGTCTGACCCCCAGAGTACAGAAAGTCGACCATGATATTTAGGTCTGACCCCCAGACTACTGATAGTCGACCATGACGTTAAGGGCTGACCCCCAGACTTCTGATAGTCGACCATGACGTTAAGTCTGACCCCCAGACTACTGATGGTCGACCATGACGTTAAGGGCTGACTCCCAGACTACTGATGGTCGACCATGACGTTAAGTCTGACCCCCAGACTACTGATAGTCGACCATGACGTTAAGGTCTGATCCCCAGACTACCGATAGTCGACCATGACGTTAAGGTCTGACCCCCAGACTACTGATAGTCGACCATGACGTTAAGGTCTGACCCCCAGACTACTGATAGTCGACCATGACGTTAAGGTCTGACCCCAGACTACTGATAGTCGACCATGACGTTAAGGTCTGACCCCCAGACTACTGATAGTCGACCATGACGTTAAGGTCTGACCCCCAGACTACTGATAGTCGACCATGACGTTAAGGTCTGACCCCCAGACTACTGATAGTCGACCATGATATTTAGGTCTGACCCCCAGACTTATGAGAGTCGACCATGACGTTAAGGTCTGACCCCCAGACTACTGATAATCGATCATGACGTGAAGGTCTGACCGACAGACTGCCGATAGTCGACCATGACGTTAAGGTCTGACCCCCAGACTACTGATAGTCGACCATGACGTTAAGGTCTGACTCCCAGACTAATGATAGTCGACCATTACGTTAAGGTCTGACACCCAGACTACAGAAAGTCGACCATGATATTTAGGTCTGACCCCCAGACTACTGATAGTCGACCATGACGTTAAGGGCTGACCCCCAGACTTCTGATAGTCGACCATGACGTTAAGGTCTGACCCCCAGACTACTGATAGTCGACCATGACGTTAAGGTCTGATCCCCAGACTACCGATAGTCGACCATGACGTTAAGGTCTGACCCCCAGACTACTGATAGTCGACCATGACGTTAAGGTCTGACCCCTAGACTACTGCTAGTCGACCATGACGTTAAGGTCTGACTCCCAGACTACCGATAGTCGACCATGACGTAAAGGTCTGACCCCCAGACTACTGATAGTCGATCATGACGTTAAGGTCTGACCCCCAGACTACTGATAGTCGACCATGACGGTAAGGGCTGACCCCCAGACGTCTGATAGTCGACCATGATGTTAAGGTCTGACCCCCAGACTACTGATAGTCGACCATGACGTTAAGGTCTGACCCCCAGACTACCGATAGTCGACCATGACGTTAAGGTCTGACCCCCAGACTTCTGATAGTCGACCATGACGTTAAGGTCTGACCCCCAGACTACTGATAGTCGACCATGATATTTAGGTCTGACCCCCAGACTACTGATAGTCGACCATGACGTTAAGGTCTGACCCCCAGACTACTGATAGTCGACCATGACGTTAAGGTCTGACCCCCAGACTACTGATAGTCGACCATGACGTTAAGGTCTGACCCCCAGACTACTGATAGTCGACCATGACGTTAAGGTCTGACCCCCAGACTTCTGATAGTCGACCATGACGTTAAGGTCTGACCCCCAGACTACTGATAGTCGACCATGATATTTAGGTCTGACCCCCAGACTACT